ATTCTATGTCCACGTCATCATTTATTGGTATAACACCTACATCCACATCATGGTCTGGAATGGAATACCAAAATTTTGCACATGCCGCTTCTTTTTCAATTTTGGAGTACAGGTTGAATAATGAAAATGTTGATAACTCATCAGGGTCGCAATTGTGAAACACTCTCACTAAATCACTTGTATACCTAATATTGGGATGATGTATAAACCGCCCACCATAGTGCATGTGGATATCCACTGTCCTAAAAGGATCTGACATGGTCCCCAACCTAAATTATTTAATCAACACTTTTAGAATTCAAATATAGATTAATAAACTATATTAAGCTACATCACACTTTCAGATTATAACAACAATTAGTTATAACAACAATCAGATTATTAAGTGAAATCTGATTTGTAGTCAAATCCAAACCCGACACATATTATTTCCTCCTGACATCAACCACATACTCCAAAAAAGACCCACATTCTCCAAAAAAAAGCTAAAAAAGTTAAGATCTTTACATTTTTAAACCCCATTTTCTCTGATAAATCACCTAAATATGGGCCACCAACTATAAAAATGACAGATATGGGGTAATGTGGGGTAATGTGGAAAAGGAATAAACAAATTGGAAAATGATTACAAATCCTAAACATTAAATGGACTGAATATTGAACAATAAGTTCTGATTCTTACCTAGAAATGTCGAACAAGCTTCACGATCAGATTTCCTCACCAATCTGTCTTTCCCTTCTTCGCGATCGAATGCAGCTTCACGATCAGATACAACCACCAATCTGTCACTCCCTTCTTTGCGATCGAATGCAGCCACGGCTTTTTCAACTCAGATTCACGCTATTTCAGCAACAATTTAGTATACAAATCCCTTGTCTTAGGGTTTTTTTTCTTACACAGGATGAACGAGAAAAGAGTCAGTTGCTCATTCTCTCTCCCTCTCTATTATAAATGAGGGTATTTTGGGTATTCGACCTGCAGCCGGTAACTCAGCCGGTTAAGAAGTCTATTTCCACTTTAGTTATGAAGTTTAGGGCGTTTATGTGTATGTTTCTAAACGATAGGGGGGTTCCGTGTCTTTTTGCGAAACCATAGGGGGGTTCCGTGTATTTTACCCAATAATATTAAATGAGTAACAAGAATTCTAGTTAAACTTCTTTTTCTCCTTTTTTAATATTTATGTCATTTATTCACACTAATAATATATCATATGTTTCTTTTCTTTTAGATAGTTAGTCTCAAATTTGATATGATATGTGTATATTACTGTTTCTCACTATTAATTAAAACACTTTATATTGGCACAACATAATCATAACTTAGATAGCATATCTTTATTAAATAAGTTATAAATGGATGATAATATACCAATAATAAATAAAACATGAAGTAGAAAAAGAAAAGGAGAAAGCAAATTTTATAATCCAAGTTTATTATAATTACTACTACAAAATTTGTTGTATATCTTGTGTATGTACGCTTCAAATTCTTGTAGTTAGCAATTGTACTTATAAAACTAGTGAAGGTAAGTATCAATGTGAAGTAGTTTTAGGAATTCTTTAAAAAAATCTTTTATTTTGTTATCTTTCCTACCAATTGAAAAACTAACATTCTAATATTGTAGTCTTAATGCATTTATTTTAATATCTATGTATTTTGATAATCATTTAGAGATTCATATAATATGTATGAAATACCAACTCCATTCAAATTCAATTAATAACCTATTAAAATGCCAAAAAAACTCAAATTAATTTACAAAAAATATATATTCCTCGTATTTTAAAGGCATATTTAATTAATCTTTTAAATTATTATTAGAATAAAAATAATAAAACTCATTGTCAATTAATTATTTGGGACTCATTATGCAAAATAATAAAAATGATATATTATTAGCATAAATAACGAAATAAAATAAAAAGAAGAAAAAGAAGTTTAATTAGAATTATTATTACCCATTTAATGCTATTTCATTCTAATTTGCATCTCAATTTATGCTAAAACCCTTAATATCACTATTTAAAAATAAAGAAAATATAATTATTTAAAATCAAAATATTATGGATCAAAAGTGCAATATCAAAGTTGTTGACTAATGATAATTTGATATTGACCATTATTCATTGTTCCATTTTTTCTAAGTGTGTTAAATTTACCTAAAATTACAAATTTTGGAGACTAGATTTGTTTGGCCGAAACATTAAGAATCAATTTGGCACACATGCCAAACATTAGGAACTAAAATTGCAATTCTCCCGCATCAAGACATTCCAATTATCTTTTTATTTAAATTTTTTTTTTGTATTCAAGAGGATCAACAGGGGCTTCCCACTCATGGCCCTTGATGACTCAAACCTGTGACCTATTAGTTACTGGTGAAGCGTCTTACGAGTTAGGCTGCGCTACTTCATTGTCAACATGTCAATTATTTAAAACGCAGAAAAAATTTGATTAAACTGCAAAGCAAATTATGACTTAGTTTTTTTTCGTTTACTTTAATAACTTGAAAATTTCATCCAAACCAGTTCTAAATGACTTCAAATTAAAACTTGTAGTAAACCTCAACAATTGTAGAATTCAACATTGTGCCACGCACCAAGAAGTTACAACCATGGGATTGGAGTACTTAAGCAAAATCATATGCTCCTATATTACATTGGACAAAAGACCAAGAATTAAACATGCTACTGAGATGTCACAAGAAACCTAATCACTTAATATATTCTTCCTCATTCATGGCCATAACACCAAGCATCCACAGGCATGGCACCAAAATTGACAAAATAAATAATACAATTAAGTCATGTATCACCTATATAACTTGCTAGTGCCCTAGCAATCAAAAGATGATAACTTAAGGTCATGATCGAAAAAGAAAAAGCACAGAAACACCCAAAGGAAATACTTGTGCGTCGGTTCATAATTCTTGGCGTGGATTTTGATCAATCAAAGAAAGTAATATGTAAACAATGTGTTCAAATAATGAAAATTAATTCTTAATTGTGCCAGCAGATTACTACTACTAAGGATACGTAAAAAGACAACCAATTTGTGTTGGATCATGTGAGCCATGACTACCGAGAACACAATTCTGGATTTGAAAGAAGAGCAAAAGACCAGAATGGTCCGTAAACTATTTAACAAAAACTGCAAGTCCCTAAAGTTTAATTGGGACTAATTTAGTCCCTTAACTATAATATTCTAGCCAATATAATCTCTTTTGGGTTGAGTCATCAACGATACAAAATTTTCTTGTGGATAGAGAGGTAAAAAAGGAAGGTTACATTCTGTAGTGGGGCCAAACCGCCATGGCCACGTGTCAGTTTGGACAAGCGACATATCAATTCGCGTGAGTCAGCTCGGGCCTTAGGAAAGGCCAGTCGGGCAAAGCCACCGCCTCCCAGCGGAATGGGCCTAGTGGGCTGCAGCTCCCGAACCTTTCAGAGCATGCAAACGGAGCCCTAAGAGGAATTCCTCTCTGGTAGGGCTCATAATCCTATAAGGAAACTATTGCCAAGAGCCCTATAAGTATAGCACAACAAGACAAACACAAGGTACACCATCTACAGTAATCAATACTGTTGCTCCACTCTTAGCTATTACTGACTTGATCGTCGGAGTCACAACGGGGAACTAGTCCCGCTGTTCATCCCCATGCAGGTCAGTTCGCTCATCTCGCTGGTACCAGTTCGTTCCTTCTCAGTTCACTCAGCCTGCTACTACTCAGTTTGAATCGTGCTTTCAGCCGTCGCATCAATTGGCATTGTCTGTGGAAAACGCAATTTCTCCTTTGCGAAATATGCCGAGGACTAGATCTCAGAGAAACGCTGATGAATCCAAGGGGAACGAGCGAAACAACCCCCAAAATCCCTATCATGGACCAACTCTTGGTGACGAGGGGACGGAGCTCTCGCGGATCCAGCCTGAACAACTGGTGCAAACGGTGGCAAACAATCTGCCTACTTTCGAGGCTATTGTGAACTACTTGAAGGGTCGGACTGAAGACCTGCAAGACCCGGAGCCTAGGGGCAAGAAGGTGGGAAGATTGGAGCCTTCAGAATCTCAAACGGGAAGCCTCGGCCCTCGACAAAAGCGGGCACGGAAGGAGTCCTTGCGTGAATAGATAGAAGTTCTGGAGCCTTCCCACTGGAACTCTCGAACAGGTCACCTTGAGTCCTTTCAGAGAATTCCTCGAAGGGAGTACTCACTGAGGAGAGAGGAGTGCCCGATACGAGATGAACTGGATCTGTTGTTAGATCCGGAGACGGACAAGGATTCCTTCTCTCCCTTTATACCGGACATCGAGAACTACCCTCTGCCTGCTAAGTTCAAAATCCCTACTATGAAATCCTACGACGCGACTACGGATCCGGAAGATCATATATTCGCGTTTCTAACCCACATGCGCTTACAAACGGCTGCCGACGAGGTCAAACGTAAAACCTTCCCCACGTTCTTGGAAGGAAAGGCACGCCAATAGTTCCAAGGGTTGCCCTCTAGGTCAATCCGATCCTTTAGTCAGCTCGCGCGCCTGTTCGCAGCTCAGTTCGTTTCGTCGAGAGCCTTCTCTAAGAGCAATGCTCACCTGATGACCGTTCAGCAAAGGCCTGAGGAGTCATTGCGTGAATACATGATGCGGTTCAACAACGAGTCTCTCCAGGTCCGAAATCGGGACGACAAAGTTGTCATGGCCGCCTTCATCAATGGATTGCGCGTGCAAAAACTATACACCGAGTTCATTGAAAAACCTGCCAAGTTAGTTCGAAAAATGCTGGACTGAGCTCACGAGAAAGCTAATGCAGAAGAAGCCAATCGCTTGAAGACCGCGTAGGAAAGACTGAGGGACGAAAGGTGAAGAAAGAACACGGATCAGGGGGATACGCGACCTGGTCAGCCGCGAAAGAATACGCTGGATCGTCTGCCAAAGAGCAGGGCCTTTGAAGGAGAGAGGGGATGGACTCCCCTTATAACACCCAAGGCTCCGGTTCTCGCCGTGATGGAGCAGGAAGGTCTCTCACGAACTCCTAGAAAGTTGGTTGATAATAAAAGTAGAAGGGATCAAAACTTGTATTGTGCTTATCATCGGGACGTAGGACATGATACCGAGAACTGTCGGGACCTCAAGAAAGACATTGAAGAGCTGATCAAACGAGAACACCTGAAACAGTTCATACGGAACGGACGAACTGAACAGAGACGAAGAGAGTACAAACGAAAAGGTATGAACTATTCTCGAGATCGACCCCAAGGTCGCAAAGACCAAACTCTTGAACAGGATACCCAAAACTTGGCGGGAGTAATAAATACCATAGCAGAAGGACCTGTCGGAGGTGACAGTCATGCAGCTCGACGGAACAACCGCCCACTCGCTAGTGGAGAGAATCCGAGCAAGTGGCTGAAGATGTACGAAGAAATCATCTATGGACTTGATGACACAGTTTCTCTCGCCTCTAACAACCATGAGGCCATCGTGATAGAGGTCATAATGTGCAACTACAAAGTGAAGAAGGTATTTGTCGATAATATGAGCGCCATTGACGTGCTATACTACAAGACTTTTAAAGAGTTGCAACTGGAAGACAAGCAGCTCATCCCAATCTGAACTCCCTTAATTGGTTTCGTAGGTCCACCGGTAAAATCTGAGGGAATGATAACTCTTATGGTCATGGTGGGAGTGTCACCGAAATCTGAACTATCCCGGTGAACTTCGCGGCGGTGAAAGAGCCATCGCCGTATAATATGATCCTGGGGCGGCCTACCCTGAACGCACTTTGAGCTGTTTGCTCAACTCTGCACCTTAGGATGAAATTTCCCACGCCAGCGAGAGTAGCTGAGGTGCTAGGGGATCCAGAGGTAACTCGGGCCTGCAATATCGCAACTCTCAAGTGCAAGGAGAAGCTGGTAGCTCAAGTGGCCTACTTAGAGCCTTGGGAGCCAGCAGAGAAAAAAAAAGACTAGAGACGGATGAAGGTTTGCTCGAACTCTCGGTCAGCAAAGAATGACCAGATCGTGTGGTCAGAACCGGCTCATGCTTGAGCAAACTGACCAAAAAGGTGTTAGAATCCCTTCTGGCAGAATATGTAGAAATCTTCGCTTGGAGTGCAGACGATATGCCCTGGGTTCCGCCCTAACTGGCAGTTCACAAGCTGGACGTAGATCCTAGCATCCGGCCTGTGAAGCAAAAGAAGAGGACCTTTGTGCCTGAGCGGAATGAGGTCGTCAAGGAAGAGGTAGGCAAGCTGTTAGAGGCAAAGATCATGAAAGAGGTCTACTACCCGACCTGACTGGCCAACCTTGTGTTGGTAAAAAAGGATGACAAGGGCTGGAGAATGTGTGTAGACTTCACCAACCTGAATAAAGCTTACCCAATGGATTGCTACCCTCTTTCCCAAATAGACCTATTCGTGGACTCAACTACGGGATATGAGATCTTCTGTTTCTTAGATGCCTTTAAAGGGTACCACTAAATAGTCATGGATGAGGAAGATCAGGAGAAAACCTCATTCATCACCGAGTACGGTACCTATTACTATGTCACTATGCCATTCGGATTAAAGAACGCGGGTGCGACATATCAAAGGTTGATGAACAGTTCAAGGATCAAATAAGCCGAAATATGGAGGTCTACGTGGATGACATACTGGTGAAGAGCAGAATTTAAGATCAGTTCATCACGTACCTGAGAGAAATATTCGACGTCCTTCGGAGATTGCAAATGCTGTTGAACCCTAAGAAATACACTTTCGGGATCAGGTCGGGCAAATTCCTAAGACACATGATATTCAAAGACGGAGTAAGAGCCAACTCTGACAAAGTAAAGGCCATCATGGATATGACTCCTCTCAAAAATATCAAGAAAGTACAGGACTAGCAGGTAGGATGGCAACCTTGAACAAGTTCCTATCGAAATCGGCAGTTCGGGGTTTCCCCTTCTTTAAGGCCCTAAGAAGAGGTCCCCAATTCGAGTGAATCTTTGAGTGCCAAAAAGCATTTGACGAACTGAAAACTCATATCGCCAAGTTGCCGACCTTAACTTCTCCCGGTCATGGCGAAACTCTGTTCATCTACTTAACTGTGGGAGAGAAGGCAGTCAGCGTGGTGTTAGTTCGGGAGGAAGACAATCCAGAAGCTGGTGTACTACGTCAGCCGTGCTCTGCAAGGGGCTGAGATCAGGTATTCCGCGGTGGAATAATATCTCCTAACGCTAGTTCACGCAGCACGAATCTTATGCCATACTTCCAGACTCATCCTATCGTGGTGGTGACCGACCAGCCTTTGAAGCAGATCTTGTTCAGACCTGATATGTCAGGGAGGATGGTCAAGTGGGTTTTAGAACTGTCTGAATATGACCTTGATTTCCAGCCCCGGACAACCATCAAGACCCAGGCACTGGCTGATTTCATAGCGGAAGGTATCTCATTTGGACTATAAGGGGCCAAACAGACAACAGGACGGGTTGGTACTGAACAGGCCGAAGCCGAACAGGCCAAAGAGGCGGCCGAACAGGCCATCCCAACCTGGACGTTGTATATCGACAGAGCTTTAAGTAATGAATGGTGCGGAGTCGGGTTCCTCCTAATTAGCCCCATGAGGGAAGAGCTAGCTTATGCCTTGAGATTCGACTTCAGAGCCTCCAATAATAAGTCTGAATATGAGGCTCTGATTAAGAGAATGAAAGTGACTCAAAAAATTGGGGGTTGAATCGATAAGGGACTACAGCAACTCGCAGCAAATACTGAACCAGGTCTTAGGGAATTACGAAGTTAAAGAAGAGCCGCTAAAGAGATACGTCGCCAAGGCGTATGAATTGAGAAGTCTGTTCCAGTGGTTCATGCTCGAATAGGTTCCTCGGAGTCGGAATAAAAGAGCCGACGCCCTTTCCAAGCTGGCCTCCACTTCGTTTGGCACGTTAAACAAGAAAGTATTGGTAGAAGTCGTCAAAAGGCGGGCATATGAACAGCTGGACACAACAGTGATCTAAGTAGTGAACTCATGGATAGACCCAATCGTGCAGTACTTAGTTAACGGAGAGCTCCCCTCGAACAACGTAGAGGCTCGAAAATCCTCCTCATGTCATAGAAGTATGCGCTCACGGATGAAGTACTATAAAGAAAATCATACCTACATCCGTGGCTGAGGAGTGTGACGCCTGAGGAGGAGGACTACATCCTATACGAAATAAATGATGACATCTGCGGAAGTCATGCTGCCCTACGGGTTCTGGCAAAAAAAGGAATGCTGTTCGGGTACTACTGGCCTACCATCTTCCGAGATTTAGCCGAACTGGTGGCTAAATACAGGTTATGCAATTGCACGCACCAGTTCATCACGCTCCAACTCAGGAGATGGTTCCCCTTCAGAGCCCGTAGCCATTTTTTCAATGGGGAATAGACCTGCTTGGCTCGTTTTTTCGAGCTCCAGGAGGTTACGTGTGACGCCCCACCTTTTCCTAGGGTGAACCCTACGGTATCAGTGGAACGCTTGTCCAACTCTCGTCGGGACTCATGTACTCGTTCAAATTTAATATAGAACCACCAAAACAACCATCGACTTAAATAAAAGTATTTCGAACATACAAGCCATAACTTCAAAGCTAAAAGTTACGATTACAATCTACCCTCCAACAATAACAAAAATTACACTTAAAGAGCCATTAAAAGTTCATACAAAAGGTATACTAGCATCCACCAGATCGCTAGTCTAGAACCACCAATCCACTTCCAAAACCTGTTAAGGAAAACAAACTTAATGGGATGAGCGAACGCTCAGTAAGGCCAAGAAAATAAACAGGCAAGCAATTACCACAATAAATCAAATAATATGCTTTAAACAACTTTTAAACATGACATTTCATTTGAGTGCACAAGTAGGAATTAACACACAATAAGGATACAGGAGTTCTCAGGAGCTATTTCCATATTCCGATCAAGTTGGGCCATCGGGGTTTGACCCTCCGTTAACCTAAATAGTAACACGACCGTAGTGCTTCGCTTACTTCCTCCATCCAACTTACACCCACTTGGATTCGGAACCAAACACGTATAAAGAGACGATACTATTCGAGTATTCCTAGTGAGATCTTAAAAGATCAAGTTATAATATTTTTCAAGATTCACCAAACTTCTCGACCAAACCGTTGCTGGTTTAAGTTACGCGATTAGCCAATGGGTTGGGGTGCCCCCCAAAAGTATAAGTGGTTGATGAGACATCGCTCAAATTGACTCAGAATTATTTATGGTTTTGAATCGGTATGAGAGGCACCTCCCACCCGAATTGGTATGGTACATACTTCCGTTCAGAGAACCAATTATAGCACTGAGTCGGTATGAGAGGCACCTCCCACCCGAATAGGGTGTGGTACACGCTTCCGCTCAGAACTCACGAGTTAAACAGGTTCATGTACAAGCATAAGTCATATATATTAATGTAACAAGTATCATATAATTAGAAGAGAGAGAGGACAAGGGCGATAAAGTACACCCTTGTCTCGGCAAATTCACGTATCATGTATAGCACTTGTACAAATAACATTTAAATCACATCAGCATTTAACATGCATTTGACACTTACCACAAGTCAAGGGCAAAACAAGAGTGAAGCGAGTAGTCAGACGAGCTCTTCTGCGTTTTCGTGACCACCTAAGACATGTATAATCACAAATACCTAGGTGCTCGACCAAGATTAATAAGAAAGATATTTTCTCGCTACCCACTCTCAAAATCACAAGTTCGAGTCAAGTTAAATAAAATTTTCTAGCTAAAACATTGGAATAATGCTCAAAGACAGCTCAAAGGTCGTTTTTTTGATTCAAGTCGTGATAAATAAATCTCAATTCCAAAAGAAGGTACCATTTTCACTTTCGGCACGAAATCGAGAAAAAAGGGTAAATGGTTTTCATTTTCCAAAAGTTTCAAATCTCATATCCAACTTTAAAATACAAAGAGCGTTCATATTTTTCAAACTAATGGAGTCAAACAGATCCAAAACTCCACTTATTTTCATAGTAAAAGTCAAGGTTAAGCTTCCAAGGTTCAAGTATAAAACTAGTGCAATTCACTAAGAACTACTATAGTTAAAATGCTTCCTTTTTAGAGTTCAAACTCATGGAAATTGAGGCCATAAGAATAGGGGTTGAAGTCCCTAATTCAAGTATGAAGAGAGGTGCTATAAATCAAGGGAGTTATATGACCAAGAAAATGCATCAAGAGAGGTTTAACTTTCAGAAACCAAGATTTGAAATGAAAGTTTAAAATTCCAAAGGAACCATGTATTCAACCACGAAATTACACCTAAAACAGTCTAACAATTGCAAAGGAAGGTGAAAAGTTCTTAAAAGGAGTATTTGTTTGAAACAGAAAATTTCCAGGTTAGAGCGGCGCTAGAAAAAATTGTATCTCGAATTTCGTAAGTCCAAAAATTGAAACCTTTATACCGTTGGAAACTAGACTCAAAGCACTAAAAATTTCTAGAAGAACTTTTCTTAGACTCCAATTCAAAAGCATTCAAATTTTAGTTCAAATTCACTGTTCTAGACAGGATAGAGCAAAACAGACTTGCAAATTCAGTGAAGTTTGGAAATTCGGCAAAATTCGTAGAAGTGGA